TTCTTCTCTTCCCCATACCTCCAAGGACAGCCTCTTTGCCTTGAAGTCTTGTTTGCAGGATACCTAAAGGACCAGCAGAACCCACAGTGATACTTGCTCAGTATCAGTCAAAGAACAGGGAGGTGTCATGTATTAGGGCCCACTGGGCACCTGCTCAGCTCAGTGTTTACATAAATTATAAAAAGAACCCTCAGATACCCACGGAAGCCCTATACAGTTATCTCCACTTTATAGGTGGAAAAAATTGAGGCTGAGAGAGAGAGAGAACAAGTGCCTTCCCACAGCCGTGCAGCCACTGAAGTGGTAGTCACACCTTCATGTTTGTCAACTACCACAGCCATACTCAGAAAGCAACCCTCAGGGGAAATGAACTCCTGCCAACGAAAGCCATATCCATGCAAAATTCCGGGGAAGTAACCTCTGTAGAGATGTTGCTTTGGATCCTTAATTTATAAATCAGAAATTAAAAAAAAAAAAAAAAAAAGACAAAAGCACAAACAATTCACTGAAACCAGCTCAGAGGCGGGCAGTAAACACACAAGCATCTCACTTGGCCAGTGTGCAGAGAACTGGTCCAGCCCCCACGGAAAGATCAACAGACCCGTCATATCCAAGGTTGGCAAGGGGGTGGGCAGACGGCACTTCCGCAAGCTTCGGCTCACACACCAGGGCAGCTGTTTGCCAGGAGAGATGCAGGGATGCCCGTCAACAGGCTCAGCAACAATACAGCCTTTGACTCAGCGGTCGAGGGGAGAAACGGCAATCAGAGCTGCGGTCAGGCTCTCAGAGCACATCCGGAGCCCAGCGGGCACAGTGAAGCAAGTGACTCAGTTCTTGTGTTGCTCTCAGCTTCACTAATGTTGGCAGCAGCACTGTTCACCCTCATGCCAGCCTGCCAAAGTGCACATAATGGGAGTCTTTGGGGAAGATCAGTGCAGGGAGCCACAGGGGACCAGAGGGGGAGCGCAGATCAAGCTGGGACCTGAGGTGGAGGAGCTGACGACTGTCTGAGCCTTGAGTTATCGGGTGTCCTTTCAGTGGCTTCTCTCATTTCACAGACATTTCCACACTGACTCACCTGACAGGCTCTGGAGGCTGACAGGCCTTCTTGTAAACACCTGTGACCCTCCCAAACCTGGAGAGGAAAGAGCCACTCTCACTCCTGAGTAGCCAGGGCTGCTGTGCCCATATCTACATGGAGGACAATTGTTGAGGCAAGGGCTCCTCCAAGAATGAAGCCAAGGCCTGGAGGCAGGCAGGCCTGGAGAAGAAGGTCCAGAACAAAGGAAGGCGCATCTCCCGCACAGAAGCTGTGCTTTCCTTCCCAACCCTTGTATATGTATGCCTCTGCTCAAACAGCTGCAAAAGCCCCACAAGCTGAGCTGTGTAAACAGCAAAACAATATTGTTACCAGGAGGCCAGAAACCCAAGATGAAGTCTGGAAGCTGTCGGGAGTAGCCAGCCTTCTCCCTGGAGACTGTGAGCAGCCCTCCATGCCCTTGGCAGCAGGGCAACCTCTGCCCTCATCTTCACACAGCTTCTCTCTGTGCTGCTGGCTGTCTCCAAACGTCCCCTCTTCAACACCACCAGTCCTGCTCAGTTAGGGCCACCCTGGTGACTCTGCATCTTAACCTGATTAGCTCTGTGAAGTTTCTATTTCAGGTCTGGTCACATTCAGAAAGAGGCACACATGTTAGGAATTCAAATAAGATAATCCCGGAGAGACGCAATTCCATTGATAAATATTCATGACGTGTCTTCAATATTCATGAGAAGATGAGTGTGCGCACATTTCCCAAGGGCCTGTCCTCTGAGGGTTGTGAGCTGCAGAGGAAGGTTTTACATTCTCAGAACCTACCCTGAGTTGAAGGAATATCCCCCACCCCAACTGGACCCTTGGGAAAAAATTTAAGTGCATTGTTACCCTGAATTCCCAGGGCTCAGAAAGCTGAAGAAGGATGATTGCTATTAGTTTGAAGGCAGCATGGGCTACATAGTGAGTTCTGAGCAAACCCGGGCTACAGTGTGAGTCCTTATATCAAAAGAGTAGAACTAAGCTGGCCATGGTGGTGCATGCCTTTACAGTTTTTTTTTTTTTCCAATTGAAGCTCCCTTCCAAAATTCCTCCCAGTCCAACCCTTCCCCCCATCTCCTTCCCCTAGTCCACTGAAAGAGGCAGTTTTCTTCCTCTGCCATTGGCCCATAGCTTATCAAGTCTCATCAGGACTGCCTGAATCATCTTCCTCTGTGGTCAGGTCACATCGCCAGGGAAAAGTGATCAAAGAGCAGGCAATGGAGTTCATGACAGAGGCAGTCCCTGCTCCCCTTACTTGGGAACCCACATGGAGACTGAGCTGCCTATGGGCTACATCTGAGCAGGGGTTCTAGGTCCTCTCCATGCACCGTCCTTGGTTGGTGCTTCAGTCTGTGCAGGACCCCCCGGGCTCAGGTTGTTCAGCTTTGTTGGCCTCCTTGTGGGGCTCCTGGAATTCCTTTAATATCAGCACTTGGGAGGCAGAGGCAGCCAGATCTCTGTGAATTGAAGCCAGCCTGGTCTACAGAGTGAGTTTCAGTACAGCCAGACTTCACTGAGAAACTTTTGTCTTGGGGGAAAAAAACAGAGCTAAGAATGATTGTTCACAGCTGTAATGCCAGAACTTGGAAGACCAAGGCAGGAAGATTTTCATGAGTTTGATGACAGACTGGGAAGAGACAGTTTTCACATATGCTGAAGGAGGCATCCCTTCACCTTGAACTTGGCCAAGAGAGGATGAAGCCTTTGTCTTGTTCCCAGGGCATTCAGAAACCAGCTGCTGAATTTGGAAATGAGTGAACAGGTGGGTGCGTGAAAACCAAATCAGGAGTCCCAATTCCCACTGAAGTGTGCATGGTGTGACAGACCTAAGCTGCTCTAGGAGGGAGTGTGCAGGCAAATGAATGACCCTTCTTGCATTGGAAGGGTTTTCCCACAGACTGTTCCTCAGGTGCCAAGAGACAACAAAGCAAGCTCCTGACCACAAGGAGGAAGTAGACTTAATGTACCTGCACATACTGTCTCATACACACAAGCGCACGTGCCTGCGTGTACCCACACACGCACAGACACCCACTCACACACACGCGCGTGCATGCACAAACACACATGTGCATAAACATCAGTGTGTTCTCTTTCCTAGCTAAGAACTGACATGTCTTCGTCCTCTTCCCTGGGATCATGCCTGGCCCTACTCATCTACCCTAGCTCTTCTCAAGGCCAGCAGCTCTCTTCCTAAAAGGGCATCTCTTTCTGCACACCACTGAGGCAGCTGAGGTGTCAGTCAGGCTGAGCAAGGATCCTGACCTGTTTTCTTAAAAAGACCAAGTCCGGATCCAGGACACGAGGCTGTTGGAATGCCACTGTAAGAGAGAGAAGCCAGGTACAGAGAACCAGGTAAACCCAAGGCTGCATCCCCCTGCCCCAGAGTCTACCCCACCCTCTCCCCAGCAAGGGCTCGTTTCCAATCCTCCCCCCCCCATAACTCTGCTCTAATACCTTGAGACACACTGAAGGTAGGTCTGTGCCCTGTGCACGCCAGACCTGCACGCTTTTACATGTGCTAGGCTCTGGGTCATGGCGAAGCTGACAGGCGTGGTTTCGTCTGATCCTATGTCAATACAGCATTAATGAAAAGTCTTTCTTCCTCATGGAGTACGTCCAACCAAGAATGAGCCTAAATATGAAGTTTCCTCTTCTTTCCCTGTGCCCTCCGTCTGTCTGTCATCTGCAGTTTGGGACCTGTGTGTTGTCTATTTTATGAAGTTGATTTCTGTCCATCCTCTGTCCTCAACAAAGGGTTTGGCTCTGTATTTATTAAACAGCATAGAAAGTATGGCCTGGGGGATGATTACTTGTTTTCTACAGAGATCCTGGTCAGTTATGACCCCCAACTGACACAGAACAGCCCTCTAAACTGTGAACAAATGTTAACCTTCATCCTTTATGGTAGATACTTTTTAAGGTTGCTTTTGACCTATTAGCTGCTTTCAGCAAAAAAATTAAACACACACTTCCTGAGCCAGGGGCATGCAAGAGTGCATAGTTCAAGATTAAAGCTACATATTTAGCTTAGATTGTAAAGGCTGATTTCATAGGAAGTCCAGAGCTAGTAGAGTTGGTTATATTGTTTTCTTAAATACAAGTTTAACAGGCTGAGTATGTAGTAGGAAAGCAGAATGCATAGTTTTAAATGATTTTCTGGCGTATAATGAGCTTGGTTGCAAGGTCTGGCAAACATTCAATTTCTAAGGCATGAGATAGTTTCAGATAATTATACTGCCACAAGATCTACTCAATGCTCCTACTGCACATTTGATCATACTCCACTACTTCCCTCTACTCTGAGTCGATCTAAATTTGATAAGTCATTTTAGCATATTTTAAAAATTAATTTTATTTATGTTTCTTAGGCCTTTTTTCTCCTCTCCAGCCCAATGCCTTCCAAAGCCCCAATACCAGGTAGGAGAGAAAGGAGGTTAGTGGGGAGGTGGGGCATGGTTCTCTTTAGCTACTTCCTGCTGGTTATGGTGTCAAGTTCCTGCCGGTTGTGGTGGCGCACACCGGCAGGATTTGCTGAAGGTTGTCAAGTTCCTTGGGGCAAGTCTTTTCAGGATATTTCCAACTTCTCTTCATGCTGTATCAACAGCAACCAAGAGTGGGAAGGGGAGGGGACAGAACAGCAGCTTTCTTCTTCCTTGGAGCCCCCTCTCTCTGGGCCCTGGCATTTATTCCCTCTCCAGAGTCCTCAGATTAAAACTATCTGCAGCTGGCAAAGGGCCCTCTCAGAGCCCTCACAAGGCAAATAGTTTGCTGCTGTGGACAGTCTGAATCAGTCTCATATCCTACACCTGTGATCAAAATAAACCATGTTTACATCCACATCATAGCAGATTTTATTGACTGTCCTTTCTCTAGAGATGTTACTACAAAAAATCCAACTTGAACATATCATACATAAGCTATGTTCCTTTTATTAAAAGATTTATTTATTTTTATTTTTTGTGGATGGCTGTTTTGCCTGCATGTATGTAAGTGTGTCCACACATGTACAGGGCCCAAGGAAACCAGAAGAGGATATCAGATCCCCTAAAACTGGAGATGGAGACAGTTGTGACCGCCACCATGCCTGTGGGTCCTGGGAACAGGAATCCAGATCCTTTGTAAGAGCAGGCAGCGCTCTTAACTGCTGAGCCATCTCTCCAGTCCCAGGAGCCGTTCTTCTTCTTTGGTTGTTGTTATGTTCTTAAAATAGATTGAATAGTGGTTGCAATGCTTCACCTCAGACCTTGCCTGGAGTTAGGTTGAGAGAAGCCAGGCAGAGAGAGGATGTCAGAGTGGCTGCATTGTCAGCACTATGTTAATGTGGGGAAATTTCCAATGATTTTTCTCACACACACTGAAAAAAAAAAAAAAAAAAAAAAAGAGTCTCAGGGGCATTATTCAGCGAACAAAAAAACTTGATGAAATGTTTGTGCTATTTTAAAATTGCCAAATCAAGGACATGACGTGCTTTAAAAGTCACTGCCAAAAATATGAGAAGCATCTTCCAGACCCAGAAAAGAGAGCTGAAACATCTGTGCTCAGTTTCCACTGTGGAGGACAAGGGTGTGTGACTGATAAGAATGGTGCCTTGAGCAGAAATACTGTGAGGCTTTGGGCACAGTGTCGCTGGTGATGGGTACCTCGAAACCTCCGAGGAATGGTGGATTTGTATCCAGATGTGCAGGTCTGTGTGGATCCTCTAAGCCTGCAGAGGAGCCAGCCCACAATGGGGATCCCTATGTGTGTGCTATCCTCGAGATCAGTAGCAAAAGAGCCATGCTAGAACCTGTCATTATTGTCTACATTACTATGTTCATTGTTACTGAAAAAAAAAAAAAAAGCTATATATTTTACGTTGAATTTGTTCACTCACCTGTCAGTGGACAGTTGGTTGTTCTCAGCTTCTGGGTGCTGTGAAGGTCACATCCACGAACATTCTGGTCTGTGTCTTTCGGGCATGTTTTCATCTGTCTTGGGTAAATCATTAGGAGTAGAATGGCTGCATCATACGGCAGTTTACGGGGACCGCCAACTTGAGAGGATCTAGACGACAAATTACTGTGCATGTCTGGGAGGTTTCTGATCGGGTTAGTAGACATGGGAAGTCACACCCTAAGCTTGGGTGGCTCTATTTCAGGCACTGGAGTCTGTGACCGAGTAAAAGGCAGAAAGCAGCCAGGGGCAGTGGCACACGCCTGCAGTCTCAGCGCTCAGGGAGGCAGCGGCAGGTGGATCTCGGTGAGTTCCAGGCCAGCCTGGTCTACAAAGCAAGTCCAGGACAGCCAAGGCTGCACAAAGCAAGCTTAGAACCAGCATTCAACTCCCTCTCTCTCTGCTTGCTGATTACAGATGCCTCCAACCCTGCTGCTATGCCTTCCCCAACTCCGATGGAGGTATCACTAGAACTGTGAGCCAGCATAAGCCCTACCTCCCTTAAGTTGCTCTTGTCAGGTACAGTGTCACAACAATGAGAGAGGTAACTAATGCATTGTTTCTAAGTAACTACCAGGAAGCATTTAAAAGTGGCTACCTGGATTATGCCCACCCTAGCTCACATTCGGCCTTATCAGATGGCCTAACAGGATCCTGGTACTATCTTCTTATTCTCCACCTCTCTAACAATACTACCAAACTCTGTTTTGGTGACTTCTTGGCATTTGTATCCCTTCAATGTGAAAGTCCTGCTTCAGATGTCTTCATTTTAGAAACGGGCATGTTGTCACCACAGTGTATTATGGAAATTGCCTCCGAATCTGTGGCTCATCTTTTCATTTTCATAATGAAAGTCTTAAATTAGCAGAATTTTATTTTTTTAGAATTTTATCAACTTTCATTTCATAATTTATGCTTTCTGTGTACTGTCTATGAAATTTTGGCCTTTTATATGTTCTGAAAGTTGTTCTCTAACATTTTCTTCTAGAAACTTTTAAGTATGAGTCTAAAATTTACTATGACATAATTGTACACAGTGTAAGAGAATGTAAAATTCAATTCTATATGGGTGCCCACCCAGATAGATTCCCAGTGGCTCCAGTCCCTACTTCTTCATTGAATTCCCAGTGCCTCTGTTAAAAATGTGTGAACCACCACGGGAGCCTGAATCCCCTGAACCCACTCCCATTTGTTTAATTTGCGTCTCTGTGTCACTGTTTAAGTAACTTTATTGATCATTCCTCAAGTTTACCAATCTTTCCTCATGTATTATCCAGCCTCTTAATAATACTATTCTATATATTTTTGCTGAAATATAATTTTCTGGGGCTGAGAGGTTAAGAGTGCTTGCTGTTCTTCCAGAGGACCCTCATCAGGCAGCTCTCAAGTGCCTGTGACTCCAAGGGACCCAGCACCCTCTGCTGGCCACCATAGGCACCTACACTTACCGGGCATGCACTCACACAAGCACTGATGTAAGCAAGTCTCCCACTTCAGCTCATGAGGAATGGGAACTTATACATGTGCCAGCGTGTCATGGCATGTTCATGTTTATAATTCCCAAGTCTCTTCTGCATTCTCTATCTTCATCCTTTACACTCACATCTCTCATGGTTATTTTATACTGCTTCTTTCAACATCTGTATCACCTCTGAATTTTTCCCAATTGACTCTATGTCTCTTGACTGTGACTTTTTCTTGTCTAGTAGTTCCTTAGGATAGTGCAGAGTGAGGGCATTGTTTTTGCAGACTGTGGATTCTGTTGTCTTCTTTTGAAGAGCGTTGAATCCCAGCGGTAAGCTAACCTTCTGTAGTCCTGGTTATCACCTTGGTCCCATTGAGACCTGGCTCTAAGCCTTCTCACAGTGTATCTACTTGGGTATTTTTATCATATTTTCTAGTAAAATAAATGTGGCCTCTCCTTTAAGAAGTGGTTGGGATTTCATTAAGAGCTCAAGGTATATGGTAGGCTCAATAGTCAACAGTCTGTCACTATGGCAAAATACCCAAGAGAAGAAACTTGTGAAAAAGAAAGGTTTCTTTGGGTTCATGGTTTTAGAAGCTGCAAAACATACTCATCTGGTCTGCAGAGCCTGTGGCAAGGCAGCACATCTTGCTGAAACAGAACTGTTCCCTTCATGGTGGTCGGAAGCAAAGAAAAAGGCAGGAAAGGTCTAGAGTCCCACTATGCTCTTCAAGAACATGGACCAATGACCTACCTTCCTCTCATGAGGTCCTACCTTCTAAACAATCCACCACCTCTGTGATAAAACACTGACCAAAACAACTTATGGGAGGAAAGGGTTTATTCCATCTTATAGCTCACAGGTTACAGTCCGTCACTGAGGAAAATCAGGGCAGGAACCTGAAGGCAGAAACTGGTGCAGAGACCATGGAGGAATGCTTCTTACTTGCTTGCTCTCCATGTCTTGCTTATCCTGCTTTCTTATACCACCCAGGACCACCTGCCCAGGGGTGGCACTGCCCACAGTAGGCTGAGCCCTTCCATGTCAATCACTAATCAAGAAAAATGTCTGCCAGTCATGCCCACAGGCCAACCTGATAGGGGCAATTCCTCAGCCGAGGCTCCCCCTTCCCAGATGACTACACAGCCTTCTCAATGGTGCTGAAGGCTGTTGGGTGAGCTTTCAAAACACAGGGCTTTGAGAGACCTTCCGAACCACAGTCCCGGGTCCTGGGCAGTTGCTGACAACCTTTGCGCAACTCTTTCAGGGTTCTAGCTATTGCAGTGTTCTAGGTTCCTTGGAGAGTTCACAGATGTGCGATTCAGGACCCTGCATATTTAGCATCTTGCAACTTACTTCTTCATGGTTCCCCGTTTCTTTGACTTTGGTTTTGTAGCCCCAGACTCTGACATCTAACTCTTCAGTCCACCATCTTGAGACCTGTTTCTGGTGTATCTCAATGATGGCAAAAGGCTTACTGGGAAGATGACACCTCGTTTGCTCCCCTTACTGCAAAGGCCATGTCCACTTGGATTCTTGACTGCCTCTGACTCCCCAGTACTCATAAATGGCTCCTTGCTATACAGACACGTTTAGCATCATTATTGTCAGAAGAACGGGTTTTTGATGGAGCTGCACCTCCATGACTGGAGGCTGAAAGTTCCCTGCTGTGTGTGTGTGTGTGTGTGTGTGTGTGTGTGTGTGTGTGTGAGTGTGTGTGTGAGTGTGTGTGTGTGAGTGTGTGTGTGTATGTATGTGTGTGTGTGTATGTGTGTATGAGTGTG